CCCGCCCGGCGGGGATCCTGGGGGCCGGGGGCGCCCCCACCCGCCCGGTGAAGGCGTGAACGAACCACAGCGGCCCCCAGGAGCCCCCCAAAAGCCCCGGTGTCCCCAGCCGACTTTCCGTTCTTTTAAGAAGTTCTCTCTCCCCTGTCCCTCTCCCCCGAGGGCTGGCCGTGGTCTTGGGGTGCAGCAGTGCGCTTGCTACCCCGTTGCTTCAGTGGCCACCCTCAACGCGCGTAGTGTCCTCCTGCTCTTACTCGCTGCGCTGCCGCGCCTTCCGTTTCTCCTTTACGTGATTCACTTTTTAAAAAGGATTTATTTTATTAATGCACAGAAGAACTGGGGTGTAGGCCAGAAGATTCTCCCCAGAGACAGAGTGGGGAGCAGAGCAGGCGCATCCCCGAAGCCCGCTGCTGAGGGGGGTTTGCTGGGTCCCTCCCTGGCTGCCGCCGGCCCCCCAGCGCCGAGCCGGCCCCAGCGGCCCATGTCTCCAGGGAAGCGAGTCCTGCTGCTTCTCTGCTGCTGGTTTGGGGTGGGGTGGGGTGGGGTGGGGTGGTTTCTATCCATCATTTTCAAAGCTGCGGTCATCTCAAATCATGATCCGTCCAGCCTGTGTCGGGGGCAGTGAAGCTGACCGGAAAGCACACAGCAGGACGTCAGTGTCGGCCCTGTGCCTCTGTCCAGCGGCCCGGCCCGACCCTCGCGCCCGATGTCCAGAGTCCCTCGGCGCAGGCTGGCCCCGCTCAGAGTGGACAGGCCGGAGGCCCTGCGCCCTGCCTCAGGCCTTTTAGGGCGTCAGCTTGTGTCTGTGCCTGGGAAGACACTGAGTGGGCCTCTGAGTGGTGCAGGGTCAAGCCCCAGCACTGTGCCACTTCCTGCTAGGCCAGGGGTGACCCCGGGCGCAGCGGACCTGCCCGTGCCCCGCTGCCCCCTCAGCGGTGGGTTTCCCGTTCTCTGCTCCCCGCTGTCTCTGGGGCGTCCCCTCACCTTCCCGACCCGCCTCGGCCTGCGCCCAGCCCCTGCGCCTTCCCAGAGCCGGGCGATCTTACAGATAACGCCCTGAGCGCCAAGGCCGCCGAGGAGGCAGCTGGGAGCGTCCCAGCGGGCGCTGGCGCTGGAGGCGCTGCTGCCCTCCTGGGGCTCTGGGCGCGGGGCCTGCGCGGGTTCCCCTGGCCCCGAGGTAAGCGTGGGCGTCACTGTGCTCAGCCGCTGGCCCTGCAGTTCCGCGCGGGAGGCCAAGGTCGCTCACACTGCGCAGGAGGCCCGGCAGCCCGTCCTGACTGTGGGAGCGGCGGGCTTCCCGCACTCGCCTACTGGAAGACGCGGCTGCCCGTCTGGCGTGGGGACGCGCCCCGAGCCGGCTGTGTCCGCAGAGGCGGAGTCTGCTCCGGCTCGGACGAGGACTCCCTGAGACCTGCTGCTGAGCCGGCTTCTCGTTCTTTCCTCGCAGGCCGCTGGCCCGGGGGGTCTTCGCAGAGCCGAAGTTCCAGTCCGTGGAGGCGCAGTGCGGTCGCCCCAGGACGCAGATGATGGCGGCAGAAGTGCCCAGAGCGGCCGCCCCACTGGGCCCTGTGGTCCTGCGGCCTCGGGAGGGCGAAGGCCAGGACGAGGCCACCGCCACGGTCCTGGAGGACGACTGTTGGGTGCAGGAGGCTGTGCTGCAGGAGGACGGGCCCGAGCCCGCACC